AGGATCATTGCCAACTGATGGCAGATAGATCTTAGGGAAGGAGTTCTATTTATCATGAAAGGATCATTGTCCATTGATGGCAGATAGATCTTAGGAAAGAAGTTCTATTTATCATGAAAGGATCATTGTCCACTGATGACAGATAGATCTTAGGGAAGGAGTTCTATTTATCATGAAAGGATCGTTGTCCTATGCTGACAGACAGATCTTAGGGAAGGAGTTCTATTTATGAAAGGATCATTGTCCACTGATGACAGATAGATCTTAGGGAAAGAGTTCTATTTATCATGAAAGGATCATTGTCCTATGCTGACAGATAGATCTTAGGGAAGGAGTTCTATTTATCATGAAAGGATCATTGTCCATTGATGGCAGATAGATCTTAGGAAAGGAGTTCTATTTGTCATGAAAGGATCATTGTCCAATGCTGACAGATAGATTTTAGGGGAGGAGTTCTATTTATCATGAAAGGATCATTGTTCATGAGTCTTTAAATTCATAGTTTATGAAAAACACAAAATCCATAAATATGAATACCTACAATATTCCATCAGTAACACTACAGTTTTTCAACATAACTTGTCAATATCCTTTATCAACTTAATTTGTTGATATGATTTATGACCCATAAATGTAAAATTTGAGTAAACCCAAGACTAATTTGACCTTTCAGATTTTGTATTGACAATGGTGCCATGATAGCTCAGGCTGGATGGGAGATGTTCAGGACAGGCCAAACTACACCCCTTCAGGAGACAACCTGCACACAGAGGTAAAATACTGTAATTATTCTTATCATACTTCTGTTTACTTCAGTACTGCAAGAATTACTGTCATGCCAATATAGATGGGATACAATTGTTTATTACTTTTTGGTAGTATCATGCCATTGTAGATGGTATAGAAATGTTTGATACTGTTTGGCAGTATTATGCCATTGTAGATGGTATAGAATTTTCTGACACTTTTTAATGATCCTTTTTTTAAAAAAATTGTTCAAACTGAACGTTGGTGATGAATATGTCAGCAGCATTTGGTGGCAGTCTTCCTAATAGAGAGAAGTAGCAATAATAAACTTGTGCTAATCGATAATGGATAAACAACTGGATAAAATAATATATTCTCTACAATCAGTGGAACTAAACCCAGCTAGGTGGAAAATATATATGGCTGAAATATGGCAACAAAAAAAATAAAGTGTGATATATTATGAATATCAAAACATCAAACTTTTGTCAGCATCAATAAATATGTGAGAATCATTATGAAAAGGACATACTCCTGATCATTTAAGAAATTCACAATTTTGATCTCTGCAGCGCAAATATAATTTTTTTTTTACAATGAAGCTTCAGGGCCTTCTAGAGAAGGCCTTATATAAATCCTGCTTTTATATGAGATGTTTAAGTCTGTATAAACCTTCATTCTTGACATAATGGAGACTGGAATTATTGTCTCATAGACTGGACCATTTTTCCAATTTCTGTGGTTTTATATTTGCAAACTAAATTAATGAAAATTTGTGCTTTATTTCAGATTCAGGACAGACGAGGTTGAAGTGACCTGGAGAAGCTGATTTGTGTTAATGATAAATTACATATACTTATTTCTATTAGCATTTTCATTGAAGGCAAATCATGGTCATGATTTTCATTATGTTTACAAAACCATAAAATTATAGCATATTGTTGTGTTCATTGTTTTTACAAGTGTGCCACACAAAAACTTGTCTTATTTCCTACAATCTGTCCAAAGACAAATATGTAATTTTTCTGATGAAGTTATCACTAAAAAAAATTTGGTGAAAAATATTTTAGTTTATCCTGGACAGCTGCTGCTAACATATCGTCTTGATAATCTCCCTAATCAGATACGGACAATTCTAGCAAAATATACATGTGGCCCAGGAATGGTTTTTTTAATATAGAGTAGTCAATTTTAGATGCAAGTTAGAATTCTGTATCATTTTCGTGTGAAATCTTTGAATAATCAGAGAACCCTGGCATATAATTTGTTTAAAAATGCCTTTCTCGCTTACACCACTCCCTCGATAACTTGCACTCTCACAACTTGTGAACCTGCTTAAAATGCTGAGTCAGGCAGGGACCCCAGTTTTTAAATTATAACATACCATAAAAGATACTCCCCCTATTTGTTGAACTTTAATTGCAATTAAAATTGGTAAATGAAACATTGATGTATTGTTCCTGTTATCATCAAAAATGGTAGATAAGAATTGGAAATTTTAATCAACATCATGAAATTGTCAACTTTTAATAATAAGTCTGTTTTGTTATTTGTTCTTTTTAAACGACCTTAGTACACCATGATATTCAACTTAATTCTGCCTGTTGGACGTAGTATTTTAATAAATATCAATTAATTTTTTATCAAGCAAAAATTGTGTATTCATTTTTTGAGTTTGCTTCAAGTGTAATTAATATAAACGAAGTATACTGTCTTGTGTTCAACTGAGAACTTAATTAGTGCCAACCATTGAGAACTTAATTAAATGCCAACCATGTTTTGATATATGACTTGCAGAAGTATTTGTTGTATGGTTGCACAGAGTTAAAAGCAGACCTCTTTGTATTATCATGTTAACTGCATCTTTTGTATCCAGTAATGGAGGTTGAATAGAAGAAAGAGAAAAGGCATGCAAATACTACATACATAAGATTTAGTAACCTCTATCATAAATTGGTTGAACTCATTTCAGTTGAACACAGTTATAAATATTATTGTGTACATAATGTAACAAACTACCTTAAATTAACCTACTTATTTATGTGATCAAAGATAGGCAACCAAACTAAAGGAATATTTAATCAAATAAAGAGTTTTGATTCACAGATAGGATCTCTGGCAGAATTCCTGACAAGGATCTCTAAATTTGCAGTGAGATCACTGCATCAATATTTTACTATTTAAGCAATACACAATTTTAGTTTTGGCAAAGACAAGTGTTTCATGAAATAAATGTCAATAAATTTTGGAAAAAGGAATCTTGTTCGTGGTCCTTATTTCCTAGACTCCTGCTACATACTTCATAACCTAAAATATGAAGCAGGAAACTAAATTAATCAACAACAACAAAAAGCAGTCATTTTCATGTGTACATATGAATGTGGTTTGAAACCAGTTTGATTAATGATAATGATTTTTCAGATTATGGGCATCTTGAAAATAATATAAATTATACCGAATAACAAACAACTTCATTAGAAAAAGTGCTTTATTGACCAGTATTCTAAAGCAATTATAAAACTAATTACCAGCCATTCAACAGTACATTAACACACACCAACACCCATTCCACCCCAGGTCCTATGGTTTTCTCAATTTCTAGCAGTAATGGGATCACTTATATTTTGAAGGTCCCTTGGTAATTCGGCCATTGCTAAGTTTTTGGACCCTGTTGTGCACGAGTTATCTAGGGAGAGGTGTACCATGTTTAAATGGAACAGCCCCAAAAGTTTGCACATTGTGACAGTTTTGAAGAATTGTAGTCTTGGAAGCAAAGCTCTACACAAAAGATCATTATGGATATATTAACACAACTTGTTCTGTGAAACCTGGAGTCTTATCTACATGCAGTATTGCAAAAAAGGTTAAAAGTGGTAAATTTTGTCAAACCATACTTAAGGGTTGTTCCATTTAAACATGCATAGTACCCAGGAAAGGCAACTTTTTAAAACTATATGCCAGGGTACTTTGACTTTGAAGATTTTGTATTAAAATGATAAAAAAATTCTAAATTACATTATGGATGAGTATTCTACATTAAAAGTGCCTTACCTGGCTCCGAGATATCTTTTACTACAACAGCCCTGAGCAGACAAGACAATAAAGCATTATGAATTTAATCGCATCACTTGTGATTAGACTGTACATAATAACATAACAATGAAATGAGACCTGCCTGAATATGTTCCTTTTCCGTTACTATTTAGTGGGTTTTATTTTGAGGACCAGGGCATTTACTATAAAACTCCACAAAGCTCTTTGTGTCTGTGGGATTGAACTCCAATTACCTCAGCATGATATAGTCAATAAAATGTTCTCAAAGTACCATTAAAAATCGACCAAACAACCATGTCCACATATTTATTCGAAAAAGCTACAGATGAACCCCATTTATGTGCACTTCATTTATAGACTATTGGTTCATCCATATGCAGATTCTTTAAACATGGTTTAGACAACAAATGGTGATTACTTCTAACAAGCAATGGCTGACATAGTCATATTATCACAGCTTGAAAATGATAGGCTATTTGAAAAAGTAACCATGAATGGGTTCCAATATGTCAAAGAGTATTATTTTCCCATATTCCTGAATTTTACACGTGGAAATGATAGTGCTGACAACCAAATCTTTTCCTTCTTGATTTAATTGTTCAACAATACTGACAAATTAAAGTCTTTTTAAAGATCAGCAGTTGAGTTTTGTTAAATGAACTATATTTTCAGACTTGCCAACACTTACAATTTGACAGCAAATCCTACTGAAATGACCCTTTAATTGAAAACTTGCAGAATTATAGCAAAAATGATGAAAACAATCCGTCATCAAATATGGTAACTGGCTTGCCCATTTTTGATATGGATCTGTCTTTCAAACTAATTCTGTGGAGCTGATCAGGGCACCAGTTTAACTAAAGTAGTATTTTAGATGCTTTAAACTGCTGATAGTTTTCATCCAAGATCAACTTAAATCAACTGTGCAAATTAAAGCATGTGCTTTAATATTATTGTCTTTAAATCAGTCTTTTTTATGGCTAAAATCATTATGAAAATCAAAGGTTAATTAGTAATATTTTAAAAAGGTTAAATAATAAAGGGAACTAATCAGAATATTCAATTCAGCATGTAAAATATCTTACATAAAGGTGGTGTTCCAATTTCAACAGACATGCTATATACAGGAATGATGTGTGCAAATACATTGTTTGCCATATATGCAAAGAATTAAATGCTGTCCCCCTCCTTTTTCAACTGCTGTGGTGGCCTAGTGGTTAGAGTGTCTGCTTTGAATGCAGGAGGTTGTGGTTTCAATCCCCGGTCTAGTCATACCAAAGAATTACAAAAATGGTACTAACAGCTGCCTTGTTTGACACTCAGCATAAAGAGATTAGTATTAGGACTGGTTGGCCTGGTGTCAGGATAATGTGACTGGATGGGACATCATGCTACATGTCTGCAGTAGGATGCCCCAGTGCTAGACAGCATTATAAACTGCCACACTGCAGACATCATAGCAATATAACTGAAAAATTGTTAAAGCTACATTAAAAATCAATCACATCAAATGACACACACACATTTATGCTTCTGAGCTTCACAAAGTAAAACCCTGTCAATTAAGAGTCCTGAAATTTAGTTTTGGTTGCTTTGCTTTCTAAATCACCTTAAAAAAATGAATAACACTTCAACACTATTCCGACAACTGATACAATCACGCATTCTGTTGCATATATCGGGTAAAATCTGACTTCAAAGAAGCTTTGCTGCTGTTGCTTGTCAATAATCTTTAATACAGATGGTTTAAACATTCTCAATTCAAGTCAATCATATATATTAGCTGTTGTTCACCAATACACATCTAGCATGTTTGATTTACCTATATTGGGTTGTTCCACTTTTGTGATATTTTTATCTATGCAAATTATCATGATGGGCTCACAGACTGCAGTCATCTAGTTTTTGTGAGCCAATTGAGTAATAAATGAAAAGGTGATTTATAAACGACTGATTTGCATTTAACTGCCCGCATTTAAACTACCCAAAGGACAGTTTTACATCAGCTCCAATTATGACTGTACCATTATACATGCTACGTGTAATAAGTATTCATACTGGAAGAATCTTTTTGTTCTATTTTCAAAGTTTACTGAAAATTTAATTTTCAGAACATGTTTTGGAAGTAAACTTATGATTTTAGCATGTCACACTGTGTTATGGCAGGTCAACAGCTTAAAATAAATTTCTACACTGTCGCAATCAAAGTCTTCTCAGGTATATTAGATTTTTTTCTACAAGCCTGATGGACACTTTACTTACAATACAATAGGGGCCCAATCTGACATTAGAGAGGCTCTGTGCATTGGGTTTCAGAAAAATACAGGAAATATATAAGGAACTTCATTAGTGTAGGTTTTAGTGATGTTTAGCACTGAATAACTGAAAATTGACCTAACAAAACATTTTGACTGCTTTAACCAGGTCTTGCTAGGGTAAGCAGATCTGTATCTGGCCTACATAATGAGCATGAAAACAGCCAATGTCTCTCTCCCATAAAGAGTTCAGACAAGAGTTAACACTTACTGTGCTCAAGCAGCATAAAGTAAATCATGCCTTGTGTGTACTTTTTTGGTCATGATACTTTTCTGAATTTGACCTATAAGTGACTATATCAAGGTTAATGTTTTAACATGTAAACAGCTTAGTAAAAATTTGATGTAGCTAACTTGCATTGCATATCCACTCGATGCATAAAAATACATTACTTGACTGTACTTGCCTATCACTGAAGTTGGTTTATTCAGATAACACTTAATTTCTAATTAAATGTATCAGTTTTATGGATGATTATGATGGCAGGAACATAAACAGTTATTATTATAGAAATAACTACCAGCTGTAACAAAATCTACGAAGCAGCTGATTAAAGTCGTATAATTGGATGACTATAATTAAGCTGTCCATTTTTCTTCTCAGTCTGATTCTGTCAAACCAACTGTGAGTAGTCCAAAGCAAGAGATTCAGTTTACACTCAGTCTGACTGATTCTGCCAAACCAGCTGTGAGTAGTCCAAAGCAAAAAATTCAGTTTACACTCAGTCTGATTCTGCCAAACCAGCTGTGAGTAGTCCAAAGCAAGAGATTCAGTTCACACTCTGATTCTGCCAAACCAGCTGTGAGTAGTCCAAAGCAAGAGATTCAGTTTACACTCAGTCTGATTCTGCCAAACCAGCTGTGAGTAGTCCAAAGCAAGAGATTCAGTTCACACTCAGTCTGATTCTGCCAAACCAGCTGTGAGTAGTCCAAAGCAAGAGATTCAATTCACACTCAATCTGATTCTACCAAACCAGCTGTGAGAGTAGTACAAAGCAAGAGATCTTTCCCATGCAAATAACCACAATAGATGACTACATGTGGTTCATGACTTTTGTTTCTCTAATGCATATAACAAGCAATAAATTACTACATATGATTCACAACTACATATTTTGTTTACCCAATGCATGATAGCAAAAGAAGACTACATATGGTTCAAGGCTAATTTTCCCCCATGCACATAACAGCAATAGATGACTACAAAGGATTCAAGACTACATATTTTGTTTCTCTAATGCACATGATGGCAACAGAAGACTACATATGGTACATGACTAATTGCTTTATTTTTCTCTCCAATACACATGAAGGAAATACACATGGTTCATGACTACTTGGATTTTTTCCCCATGCATATCACAGCAATGGATGACTACATATGGTTCATGATTACCTGTTTTTTTCCCCCAAAAAAACACCACGGTAATAGATCACCATATATAGTTCATGAATACTTAAAGTTTAACTATGTCAACCAAGCAAATATAAGCAAAACATATTTATGCAGTTTAGGTTTTAAAAAATGAGAGAAAATCCATATGCACTAATAAGAAACTGTTACTTTTATAAAACATTTATTCATATCACTCTCAACATAATTATCATACATTATAACATGATTTTTATTTTAAAAGATGCTATGGACAAATACGTCTTATTTGTTTGACGAAGTATTGTCAAAAATTATCTAAACTAAATTCATTTAAATGTTTATGAAGGCAGCTTATTAACAGTCACCTTCTATTGTTCCACTTCATAAATATCCCTGCTATGTTGGAAGAAGAAGCAGAAATTGGTGTCCATTTGAGGATTGATGTATTACCTCAAATTAAGCTTGAATTTAAAAACTAATCTATAAAGGTTGTCTTAAGGGTTTTCATGAGCATAGCCTTTCTAAGCAGAGAGCTCCTTCAGTACACATAATGCAAGCAATTTTGAGAAATGTATTATGATAGTTTTACAGCATTTAGCATGGTCAAACTCTTGAAGATTGGTCAGCTGACCAAAAGGGGTTCTTCCTTAAATAAAATTATTATTATTATTAATATGCAATGTTTAGTTTTGAACTCTCAGTTTGTATGAATGTGGACCAGAATTTTGTTATTCACCTGAAACGTGGACATGTGCAATCAGCCCATGCCTTCATAAAGACAGTGACATACTAAGGTAAGTGTTTAAGAAAAAGACTGGATTCTGATGTTGAATAGTTGTAGAAAAGTTACACTAGTCATTTCAAAATGGCCACCTTGGCAACCTTTTGTAATTGTTGTGTACAGTTGGCAACATGCTGCAAATTCTCCTTAACAAAATAATACATGCTCTATCATCCGTCTTTAACCATAATGCCTTGTTTCACAAACCATACATGATTTCTATACTACAAAATGGATAAAAATTGTGTAGTTTATGACTAAAAGAATGGTAAAGTTGATAAGAATATATTGAAAATCAGTTTCAACTGAAATAATGTTCAAATGCTCTTCTTGGAGGCAACTTTTTCTTTCTCTACTTTGGTAGGATCATAAGAGTATGTTTTTGGTATTGGGCCTTCTCCTGCCTTCTTGAATGCCATAGCATTATAACGTTGCCTGTCGGTCACCTTACTGGCGAGTGCTGCATTGTTAATGGCTGGAAGAAAGGAATACAGGTATGAAGCTCATAATGGGGATACTAAAACAACTGTTATATACTGGATTCAGTTATGTAAAATGCGTATCAATGCTCAAACAGTGTAATTCCTACTTTAATATGATTTCAAGAATTACCTCACAGCAGAAATATTTCTTAATGTGTAAATATGAAAAAAATCTTTTATTTGAAAACTGATATTGTCTAATACATGTAAATGAATAAGTTGCTGCTCTGGTTAAATTTACTCCAATAATGTTCTTTAAATTAGGCATTACATCCTCTGAGTTTGTCAAAATTACAAATTCCATTAATTCCCTTTACTGACTTGGGGATTGTTTGGGGTGGTCATGTCTTGTGTGATATCTGTCTGTAGTTGATTGGAAATAATCAAATACAGCTGTTTTCCACAATATTTATGTTCCTTAGCATTTTTAGTAATAAGCAGAACACACCTAAATATAAATGGCTATATTATTTGTAAAGTAATATCTCTCCAAAACTGCTTTGATAGGATTATATTTCCGGTAGTCCATGAGAAAAGCCATGGGTTAAACAGTAAAAGTCTTTTTGTACTTTTCTTGTGTTTCTGGGATAGTACAGCTAAAAACAGATTCAAAACCTTTGATCTTAAGATCAATGTCTGAGTTGACTATTGTTTATTGGAAAGTAATTCAAAAGTCTGATCAAAATTACTTTGTACAAAATCAGTGAACTTGTATACTCTGTGTACTTTCGTGTCTCAGTTACACATGAAAGAAACAATGTCTCATACACAGAAAATCTCATCTAGAACAAATGTGTGCATGAGATTAAGACTGAATACCAACAAAATCTATCACATTTTACTTCCTGAAGAGTAATGGGTCATAGGTACTTGTATTTGTTAGGGAGGAACAAAAAAAACTGTTTACACCCAGTCCTATTATACAATTTTTTAAACAAGGTGACAAGTTGAGCAGCTTGAAATTTGCCCCATAGCTCGTTCTATGCTAATTTCATTTATTTCATCAGCACTCTCATTCACTAGTTAAATATCTCTGCAAAAAAAGAGAGAAATTCCATATCTGTTCCCCATGTAAAATTTTGGATGGATGATAGGATTTTGTCTTAGAAGACCTCTTTATCAAAGAAAAAAGTAGGGGAAGGAGAAAAACGGTCTTCGGTCAATATTTCTCTTAACTTTCGTATATGTCTCTCTTTCTTCCTGTTCCACTTTCTTCGAGCTCAACTGAAATCAACATCTTGGACAGATGTCATCTCTTGTTGTATAAGCAATTATCTGCTAATTATGATTAATTTTGAGCATACTCTGTTTTCAGCACTGAAAG